GAACACACATATGTGATTGCATGGGGCTAGTCTTTAGTCATTCATGGATATAAGACACATCGCACATAGGACCATACAGGCTCACACATGTATATACATGTCATGTGATCAAACATGTATTGTGTAGGGTGAGTAATCCTAGCTCTACTCCTCAGCCAGGCTACTGACTGCTGTGTCTCGATTCTCTTGTCTAAAATGGGACACGTGATAATAGTGACAGTAAACTGGAACTATATACAAAAGTTACCACAGTCAATGGAACATAGTCATCTGTACACAGTAGATTTTGTTGTGATTTTACTCAGGTTTTTTTTTTTTTTTTATTCTTGGAATAAGAATAATTTTCTTTCTCCAGGAATAATCCTGCAGGGGTGGGGTCCTGAGGACTTGGTGAGAAAAGTAAAGTGCCTAGGAGCTTAGCACAGTTGTTTAGTTTTTTGTTTTCGTTGATGTTTTCGTTTTTGGTACTGGGGATCAAATTTAGAACATTGCACTTTTGAGGCAGGCACAGTGCCACTGAGCTAAATCCTTGGCCCCGGTTATTTAGTTTTTATCACAAACCCAGCAGGTATTCTCTATGGCTTTATTCCTTTTGAATTTTAAGACACTGGTTTTTTACACATCCTAACATGTATGGTACTGAGTAGCTGTTAAGGATTTTATAAATAAGAATTTACCAGGTCTTTTCAGGTGAGGACCTTGTAGTTTGGAGAAGTACAATATAATTGTCTATGGTTATATTTGAAGAGCATTTTTGTTTAGAAATATACGTAGAGGGCCGGGGATTTAGCTCAGCGGTTCGATGGCCTGCCTTGCAAGCGCAAGGACCCGAGTTCAATCCCTGGTACCAAAAAAAAAAAAAACAACAACAACAAAAAAAGAAATACATGTAGATACAAGGGGAAAAATGAGAACCAAGACCTGTCATGTAAAGGTACAAGATCCCAATAATAAATGTAACTGTACTGTATACCTAGAATGTACCAATCAATTCAATTATTAAAAAAAAAAAGAAATACATGTAGATACCCAAATGTAGTGGTATACACCTGTAATCCCAGTACTTGGGAGGCTGAGGCAGGAGGATCGCTGTGAGTTTGAGGCCAGCCTGGGCTACGTAGTGAGATCAAGATAAGCCTGGACATAGCAGGACCCTGTCTCAAAAAATCAAAAAGGAAAAAATATAGGGCTGGGGATTTAGCTCAGCAGTTCAGTGGCCTGCCTCACAAGCGCAAGGACCTAAGTTTGATCCCCGGTACCACACACACAAAAAAATAAATAAAATAAAAAGGAAAAAATATAGATAAAACAAAAAATAAAACCATAACCCAGATGACAGAATAGAGTGTTGAATAGGAGCTGGTGGCCTGGGTTGCCATATGTCATCTACCCAGTCCATTACAGTACACACATCTGTCACATTGTTTTTTTTTTTTTAATGTTTTTGATACATAATAATTACATTCATTTTATTCTTAACAACTTCCTGCCAGAGCGACACCACAGGCAAGCTGGGCTTTGAGGAGTTCAAGTACCTGTGGAACAATATCAAAAAGTGGCAGGTGTGTGGCAGCCTCTGAAACTCCTTGCACCCAGACCCCCAAGCCACGGAGACCCTGTGAACACCACAGGCAAGCTGGGCTTTGAGGAGTTCAAGTACCTGTGGAACAATATCAAAAAGGCAGGTGTGTGGCAGCCTCTGAAACTCCTTGCACCCAGACCCCCAAGCCACGGAGACCCTGTGCTCTGTGGTGCTCATTATGACACCATCCTCTCTGTCTGCACAGGCCATATACAAACGGTTTGACATCGACCGATCTGGGACCATCTGCAGCAGTGAACTCCCAGGGGCCTTTGAGGCAGCAGGTGGGTCTGGCAGGGCCCTGGTTGTGTGTGAGTCTGAATCCCGGGAGTGGGAGTAGGTTGGGCTGTGTGGCCCTCACACCTAATGGCTAAACCATTCCCAGGCTTCCACCTGAATGAACATCTCTATAACATGATCATCCGGCGCTACTCTGATGAGCGAGGGAACATGGACTTCGACAACTTTATCAGCTGCTTGGTCAGGCTGGATGCCATGTTCCGTGAGTGAACTCCAGCTCTCTTCTTGGGTGCAGATTTGTTCTACCTCCACTAGCCAAGGTCTCCTGTAAGCCTGGCCTTGAGATGGGCAGGGCAAGGGGGTGCATCCTAGCCTGGTGGGGCTCACAGTCGGCCTTGTCTACTGACAGCCAGTTAGACTCATGTGGCCAGCCTCTGGGAGCCTGAGGGAGGCCCACAGGCCTCTTCAGACAAAGTAGGCACCTAATACACCTGATACACCCGATACACCCAGGGAGGGATTCGGAGGGTAAGGACATGCAAGTAGGGACCCGAAAGACAAACAGTAGTAAACCCATTGAGAAGGCAGGGAAGAGAGTCACAGGCCAAGAAACTGGCCCATGCAAAGGCCTAAAAGGAAAGAGAAGACTGTGCTTCCTGTGCTTTTTTTTTTTTTTTTGGTTATTGAGACAGGGTCTCACTGTGTAGTTGAGACTGACCTGGAACTCACTGTGTAGCCCAGGCTGGGCTCGAACTCACAGTGATCTTCCTGCCTCAGCCTCCTGAGTGCTGAGATTACAGGAGTGCGCCACCATGCCCGGTCTTCCTGTGCTTTTTGTTGGACTCTTAGTTCAGAGAGAGCTGAAGAGGGGTGGGATGAGGAGGCAGAGGACTGGGAGGATCAGTAGGGGCCAGGTCATGAGGGCTTTATTTTGTATGGTACTTAAGATTGCTAGGACCTTGCACGTGCTCAACATGAATTCTGCCACTGGACTATACCCAGTGAAGGCTGTATTTTTTCTTTTGTTACAGGGGATTAAATGTGAGAGCACTCTACCACTGAGCTACACTCCCAGCCCTTTTAATTTTATTTATTTATTTATTTTTTATTGTTTTGGTACCGGGTATCAAACTTGGATCCTTGGGCTTGTGAGGCAGGCAGAACCACTGAGCTAAATCCCCAGCCCCCTTATTATTTTTTATTTTAAGAAAAGGACTTGCTAAGTTAAGTTGCCCAGGCTGGCCTTGAACTTTTTGTTTTGTTTTGTTTTCTTTTTGGTACTGAGGATCAAACTCAGGGCCTTGCACTTGCAAGGCAAGTGGCGGAACCACTGAACTAAATCCCTGGCCCTAGCCTTGAACTTTTGATCCTCCTGCTTCAGCCTCTTGAATAGCTGGGATTTCAAGCATGTACCCCAGCAGCCAGCCCCATGAGGGCATTTATAAACATTAATGTACCAAACCCTTAAGACACCCCTGAGGGCTAGGGGTGTGGCTTAGTGCAAAGGCCTTGGAGTCAATCCTCAGTACCAAAAGAAATTTTAAAAGTAAAATAGTTAATATATGGAGAGCACTTTACACAGTGGTTGGCATGTAGTAAATACTCAGTGAAGTGCTAGCTATTTTCATTATTTTGTGTATTTTAATATTATTATCCTAAAAGCCAGTCTGTTCCCACCCATCCACTCCACACTAAAACCTTTGTCCTCTAGGTGCCTTCAAATCTCTTGATAAAGATGGCACGGGACAAATCCAGGTGAACATCCAAGAGGTAAGAAATGCCATCCTCAGGTGTGGGTGCTCAGCTCTGAGGTCCCCCTCCCGCGATCCAACCCCTGGGGGAGGCCTCTGGCGCTCCGGCCTTCTCTGTTCCTCACTCTGTGCCTCCTTCCTCCAGTGGCTGCAGCTGACCATGTATTCCTGAGCGGGACTTCGACCTGCCACCTCACTGTAGGAGCCACCATGGACCCTCAGTCCCTCCCAGGGCCCATCCTGTCTGCAGCCACATCTGCATAGGTCCTATACCCACAGGCCTTTTTTCTCCCAGCCCGGGGAACCCAGCTTCTCAGTCAGCAGCCAGGTCCCCACATGCCCCAACGTGCCATGCCCTGAGTTACCCCGGCTCTCAGACATCCTCCTATGCTCTGCCCAAGGTCACCACACCCATCACACACCCTCTCCATTACCTTTCTCCTGTACGTGTGCCAAGCCCAATACTCACGTTGCTTCCGTGCCCCAAGGGCCGTCTCAGTTCTGGAGGATCACTCAAGTCCCTGGCATACTCATTCAGTTACCACCCAGGCAGCCAAATAAACTCCAGTCATTAGGCCCACATACCCCAGTGCCTTTGCCTGTACACTGCTCCCAGCGGGCCAGGCCTAGGAGGAAATAAATGCACTCCAATTGCTGCTCCCTATAGGATCTGCCTTCTGTTCTGAGAGGTGAGGGGTGGCTTAGGCTCAGGGGAGAAAGTGTGGGTTCGGAAGAGTGGGTGGGCTTGGGGGTATCTCCCTGCCTGTCTGGGGGCGTGGGACCTGGATGTCTCATACTCCCCTTCTCTCCTCTACATCTATTTTTCTTGTACTGGGTTCTACTGAGCTGTAGCCTGGTTCTTCCTGAGATCCCTCAGGTCCTTTTGGGTGCTGTAGCCAAATCCCAGTCTGGTAGGAGATCTCAATGTCCCCTGTGCCTGTCCTCCTCTGTGTGTGTGGGGGGGGCACTACCACTGAATAGCATCCTTAGACCTTTTAATTTTTTTTTTTAAGTTTCAAGACAGGGTCTCACTAAGTCGACCTTGTGGGGACACTTGAACTTGCAGTCCTCCTGCCTCAGTTTCCCTCAGTGCTGGGATGATAGGTGTACACTTGCACCTGATATCTATCTTTCTTTCTCTTTCTCTTTTTCTTTTTCTTTTGTAGTATTGGGCATGGAGGTACACACCTGGAATACATATAATCCCAGCACTCTGGAGGCTGAGGCAGGAGGATTACTGTGAGCCTTAAGGCCAGCCTGAACTACATAGCTAGATCCCGTTTAAAAAAAAAAAAAGATTAGCCCATGGTCTGCATACTGAGCTACATCTCCAATCCTTCCCAAATATGGGATTGAACCCAAAGTCTCCAGTCTTTTTATTTTGAGACAGTCTTGTTAAGTTTCCTGGGCTGGACTGGAATTTGCAGTCCTCCTGCCTCAGCCTCCTAGAGTACATGTCTGTCCTCTCTAGCTTCAGTCTATGAACCGGTCTGTCCTTACTTGGCTTTGCCTCTGTTGTGTCCCGGACCAGGCTCAGCATCCTCCTCCCCTCTTGGGGCTCTGCAGAGGGAAGGGCTGCTCTCCTGGGATATAAGGCACTGTCTCGCATGGACACCACTCCAGGTCCCCAGGCCCCAAGCTTGGGGCAGCCCAGGGCTTGGAGTCTTAGTGGAGCACTGAGTAGCCTAGGAGTAGCCCTGGGCCTGCCTGAGGCACCAAGGGCTGGGGCAGCAGACATCCCTGGCTGGCAGGAGGATGGGCTGGGTCGCACTCACACGCGCGCGCGCATGCACACTCACACACTCACACACACACACACACACCCCAGAGCTGGGCTGGGTTCCCAAGAAACCTGCACGTTTATTTGTGTTTGTCCATGTCCCCCAGTCCTCCAGGCTTCTTGGTCTCACTTCTTGTGGGGGAAGGAGGCCCAGCCGAGGCAGTACAAGCTGTAGACGGTGCCTAGGAAGAGAGTGAGGGACAGGGAATGAGACCTCAATCCCTGCTTACGGTCCCAGCCTCTTCTCAGGCTTTTAAGCCCCTCTGCAGGTTCCCATCACCAGCCTGGATCCACTCCAGATCGGGAGCCAGCTCCTTTCCAAACAGGACTCCTAGCGGGGATCCGCCCCCCTTCACTGATCAAATCCTGAGTAGCTCAAGGCCAGCCCTGTCCCCACCGAGCACTCACCCCCCAGAGTCAGCGCCATGGTCAGTCGGTACAGGAGTTGGTCGGTGGTCCCGCCCTTCAGGTGCACAGGGATGTCATTGCTCTCCTGGGTGTGAGGGCGTCGGTTAGGGGAGGGGTGCAGACTGCTCTGTGGACCTGGTCCCAGGATCGCCCCTCTCCCCGCCCCACGGCTTGGAGGCCACGCCCCTCTCCCCGCCCACCTGGAAGAGTTTCTGCTTCTCAGCCACTCGGTTCTGGAAGTGGTGCCGGGCGCTGGAGCTGAAGGAGCGAATCAGCGCTTGGGAGACCTGCGGGGACAGGAAGGGAAGGAGGGGTGACCCCCAGTGGGTCGGGCGGGGTGGGGTGGGGAGTGATGTTGCCGTTTGAAGTCGGGCACGTGGGGGTCGTCCCAACTCGGGGGATCTCAAAGGCAAGATCGGAACTCCTGGCGAGGACAAGGACGAGGATGGAGAGGGGCCGCCTGTCAAGAAAAGGGCCTGCCCGATGTGGTAGTGCACGCTGTTTGTCCCAGCACCAAGACGGCTGAGAAGGGGCCCCGGGTTGGAGGCCACACTGAGCAATTTGGCGGGGCGGTGAGACAGGGTCTCACTATGAAGTTCAGACTGCCCTGGAACTCACTGTGTAGCCCAGGTTGGTCTTGAACTCACAGCGATCCTCCTGCCTCAGCCTCCCGAGTGCTGGGATTACAGGCGTGTGCCACCATGCCCGGCTTCACACTGAGCAATTTAATGAGAACTTGTGTCAAAATAAAAAGGGTAACTCCAGCACTCGGAAGGCTGAGGCAAGAGGATCACGGAAAGTTGGGAGTCCAGCCTGACCCACAGCAAAATGCTGTCTCAAAAAACCATACATAAATATAAAAAGGGCTAGGGATGTAGCTCAATGTGAAGGCCTTGGGTTCAATCCCTAGTTACACACGCGCGCACACACACACACACACGCATGCACTCCCCTCCTGGCTAGGACCAGGGGACCCCAGTTATGTTAGAGGAACTCTGGCTGAAGGGAGCGGGTTTAAACCCGCGGCTCCGGGCCCCCTTAGTGGTCCCAGCGGTTCCCGAAGCTTGGGGTTGGGTTAGGGCCGCCCCACGCTGCTCAGCAGGGAGCCCCGGGTCCTGCAGGGGCTCACGTTCCAAGGCCCCCGACCCGGCACGTGTCAGGAGGCCCGCGTTAGGGCGAGGGCTTTCTGGGTTGGGGACCCGGCCCGGCCCGCGGGGTCCCTCACCAGTAGGGGCCTCATTCTGGTCCTCGGCGGACGGCAGCTGGAGTCACCTCCCCTCTCAGCCAAGGACATACTCACTGCCCTCCCTCCCGGGAATCCCAAGCCACGCCCGCCACAGCCGCGGGTGTGTCCAATGGGGCGGCGGGACTCGGTGAACCCGGTCCCCGCGGGGCAGCTGCCCTCATCTCGAGGGAACCGTAGGACTGGGGAGTGCGCTTCCTTCCCGGATCTCTCCCAGCCCGGCTGGAATTGGCGAGCGGGGTGGGGTGGGGGTAGGGGTAGAGTTAAACCAGGGTTCCAACTCCTCGTTTATCTGAAGTGAGTGACTGCATCTGAGCCTTATTTACGCATTTGTGTTTTTGTTTTTTGTTTTTTGGCACCAGGGATCAAACTCCGGACTTTGCGCTTGTGAGGCAAGCGGCGAAACCACTGAGCTAAATCCCCCTCCCTGTTTTTGTTTTGAGACAGTCTGGGTGTCTTGTTCGGTATGGACTTGAACACATTATGTAGTTCAGGTTGGCTCAGATTTCTCCTGCCTCAGCCTCCCTAGTGCTAGAATGACAGGTGTGCATCACCAAAGTTTCCCCAAAACTTTGGGGAAAAAGGAGACCCCAGCATTCAGAAAGGGCCAGTGTCATTGCTCGTCCACATGCTCTGTCACTGCCTAGTTTGCATGTCTGATCACAGGACATGCTCAGTCAGACCTGCCTGACCTTTGGAGGGCTACATATTCAAATGTGAGATATGATGATCCGCCTGCCGCAGACTCCCGAGTGCTGGGATTACAGCTCAAAAAACCCTGAAAAGGCCGGGCATAGTGGTGCACACCTGTAATGCCAGCACTTGGAGGCTGAGGCAGGAGGATCACTGTGAGTTCGAGACCAGCCTGGGCTACATAGTGAGTTCCAGGTCAGTCTCAACTACCTAGCGAGATCCTGTCTCAAAAAAACAAAAGCAAAACAAAACAAAAACAAAAAACAAACCCACAAAACCCTGAAAAACCTAAAGCAAACAACAACAAAACACCAAAGTTTTGTTGCTTTGCTTTAGGACTAGCGAGACCCTGTCTCAAAAAAACAAAAGCAAAACAAAACAGAAACAAAAAAACAAACCCAGAAAACCCTGAAAAACCTAAAGCAAACAACAACAAAACACCAAAGTTTTGTTGCTTTGCTTTAGGTTTTTCAGGTGTTTTTGAGACAGGATCTTGATATGTAGTTCAGGCTGGCCTGGAATTCATTATGTAACCCAGACTTGCCTCAAACTCATAGTATATGAACTTTAACTGAATAATATCCCTTGCTTTTTCTCTGCAATTACTGAGATCAGTTATGCTCAGAACAAACCTCTGAGGAAGGTCCTGATATCGCCTTCTGTTGCAAATATGGAAAAAAGAGCTGGGTGTGGTGATGCACACCTGTCATTCTAGCGCTAGGGAGGCTGAGGCAGGAGAAATCCGAGCCAACCTGAACTACATAGTGTGTTCAAGTCCATCCTGAACAAGATACCTAGACTGTCTTAAAAACAAACAAAAATAGGGTGGGGGGGATTTAGCTCAGTGGTTTTGCCGCCTGCCTCACAAGCACAAAGTCCCGAATTTGAAGCCTCCCGTGTTACATAAGACGGTCGAATACATTTTGAGGTCATTTTTTCTTGTCAGTCTGTGTTTTCTTATGGGGTGCCAGCCATGTTCCATGCTGAGAAGTACAGAGAAAGAGGTTTAAGACCTGTCTTCCAGCAGCTGACAGGAACTCTGGTTTTATAGAAAAGGGGAACAAAGGCAAGGGTTGGGAGTTTACGTAGTGGGGGGCTTTGCATAATGGCAACATAGGTAAACCTGCCCCATCCTCCTCTGGTGAACCTCAGGGCTGGTTCCGCCAGGGTCTGGGAGAGCCATCACTTAAGGTGGCCATCTGGTCCTATCTTCGGGGGGCAGCCTCCTTCCCTGATGGGGTAATTTCTCCGGCTTGCGAGGTGACCCCATGGTGGTGGTCTGTGCTGCTCGGAGGCTGCAGCTTTGGGACAACGGCTGGAGGCTTCTTGGCATCACTTCGAAAGGACATTGTAAAAGCTGGCGATTGGGTGACACTGCAAAGCCTGAAAATTACATTCGTTACTCTTATGTTGATGTGCTTAGTGTTCCAGGGGATGAGACAAATGAGGTAAATTTAGGGCTATTAAACTTGTACTACTAGTTTTTAGACACTCCCTGAGTGATTACCCCCGCTTTTTTATGGTAGCAGGAATCGAACTCAGGACCTTGCACTTTTGAGGCACTGCTGAGCTAAATTGCCAGCCGCCCCGCAGTGATTAATATGCAGAGGTGACCCAAAGTTTTATGCAGTAAAATCAAGGCAGAGATGTCAAGCTTCATCCTGCTTTTAGTGACCCAGCTTTTAAGACCATGTAACTTTTTTTTTCTGGATTTTTGAGATAGGGTCTCACTATGTAGTTGAGACTGATCTGGAACTCACTATGTAGCCCATGTTACATTTTGACTTTTTCCTATTTCCCCACCTCCACCCACTACCAGCCACACAGGTATCCTTGGCTCTTCACCCCGGACTGTAGTGTAGCTGCTCTATTCGTCTGTGTGTCGACTTTAGACTCCTTGTATCCACAGCATCTGGCATATGGGTGAACTTGATAAATATTTGTTAAAGGAAATATACTCTAAATGTCTCTGACTTGGCCACTCCCACCTCTTCAATAAAGTAGGCGTTCTGTGGTTCTTCTAGCTTCCTGCCATCACCAAGATCTTTCTGTGGGACCCCACGAGTGTCTGGCTACACATAAGCCCACTCACCTGTTGCTAGCCAGCCATTTATGGATCGACTGTACCAGGAACTGAAGCCAGGGTGTTAGTACTGAGCTATGTCCCCAACCTTGTTTCAGTTTTGAGACAGGGTCTCACAAAAATGCTAAGTTGTCCAGTATATTCGTTACTTTTTTGTCACTAGGACCAAACACATGACACCTGCAAACTTAAAGGGGAAGTTTATTCTGGCTCAAGGTTTCAGTGGTTTCAGTCCATGGTGTGAAGAAAGGGCAGGCAGGGGACAGCTGCTCAGCCCATGCCAGCCAGACAACAAAGAGAAAGAAGGGAGGAGTGAGGGACAAGAATACACCTTTCCAGGTCACCCTCCTAGTGACACACACCTTTCTAAAATATTTTATTTGTTTAGACCCACTTCTTCTCCTGACTAGGCTCCACCTCCTAATAGCACTTTCTGCTATTATCAGTGGACTAATGCACTGTAGGGAGAAAATAGAAATCAACCTATGACTGGACCACAAAGTTTGGTGACTTAATTTTTGTTTGCTATACCAAAATATCTAAAGCTAGGTGCTTTTTTTTTTTTCCTTTTCTTTCTTTTTGTTGGTAAAAGGTATCAATCTTGGGTCCTTGCGCTTGCAAGGCAGGCGGCGGAACCACTGAGCTAAATCCCCGGCCCTAAACTAGGTAATTTTTAAAGAACAGAGAGGTGGGGATTTAGCTCAGTGGTTCTGCCGCCTGCTGTGCAAGGTCCTGAGTTTGATCCCCGGTACCAAAGGGAAAAAAAAAAAAAAGAAGAAGTTGCCAGGTGTTCAGCCTGAGCAATTAAGCAACTATGTAGTGAGACTTGTCTGAAAAAAAAAAAGGTGCCTTCTCTGCCGAACAGCTACATAATGCTGTGCAAAATGCAAGACCCTTTGTTACAACAGCAGGGAAATACTAAGGTATAAATTTTTTTTCCTTTCTTCTTCTTTTTGGTACCGGGGATCAAACTCGGGTCCTGTGCTTGCAAGGCAGTTGGCAGAATCACTGAGCTAAATCCCCGGCTCTTGTTGGTTTACTTTTTGTTTCACTTTTTTTGGTACTAGGGATTCAACTCAGGGCCTCTCACATGCATGCAAGTGCTGTTATCACTGAGCTACATTCCTGACCCTTCTTAACTTTTTCTTTTGAGATGAGGTCTTGCTAAATACATTGTCCAAACTGACCCTAAAGTTGTGCCTGTCTCAGCCTCTGAAGTAGCCTGGATTGTTGGTGCATGTCCCTGTGCCCAGCTTGTGGTGATATTTTAAATCTGCTATTTAATGCTAGGTTCTCTAGGACAAAGGAAACTCCCGGCTGAAGACAGTCACTCAAAAGGACCTAGCTGTGTGTGTACCTGGACACTTCACCAGCCACTAGACCAGCTTGCAGTGCCCTGCCCAAAGGGAAGGTCAAACCTCACATAGCCTTGCTGCCTGGGTAATGCAAGCTCTGTGTCCAGGAGGGATTGGGACCTGGATCCAAGGTAGGCAAGACAGTGACCCCTGCTAGGCCTTCTGTCCAATGTGAAATGCTGTGCCAGTCTGGGGAAGAGGTAGCTACAGCCGGCCCTGCCCTGCCCTGCCCTAAGAGGCCATGGACCATAAGTGCCACACTCCAATCCTCCCTGTACCCATACACAGGCTCCTGGGAGACAGAACAAGCATCCAAGCACCTGTCTCAGGGAGGCAGAGAGTAGTGGGAGGTGAGAGCAGACAGGAGTCAGGCTCCAAGCCCCTCATATGTGCTCAATTGTACCACAAACGTCACTCACAAAACACAAACGCAAAGATACTGCTATCAGAAATTTCAAGCTGGCAACTGCAGAACATTGCACCCAAATGTGGGCCCCTCACGCTTCTGGGCTGGTTTTCCAGGGTGACTCACAGAACACCTAAAAATCCTCCTGCTAGGTGGAAAACTGTTGTTCTGAATGTGAGATAAGCTGTTCTGAATGTGCCCCTGGAGAGATGAAGCTAAGAACCCACCTCTGCAGTACTGACCTAGCACCAGGAAGCCCAAATCAAGAAGCGGCCAATCAGATGCTATAGTACATGCCCATAATCCCAGCACTCTAGGAAGCTGAGGCAGGAGGATTGCAAATTCCAGCTCAACCTCAGTAACTCAGTGAAACTCTATCTCAAAATACAAAGTAAGACTAGGGCTGGAGATGTAGCTCAGTGTGAAGACCCTGGGTTCACTCCCCAGTACCAGGGGGGAAAGAAAGAAAGGAAGACAAGAAAACAAAACAAAGAGCTCTGGTGGCCACTCCCTGGGAAGGTCTTGGGAGTGGTTCTGTCACCTTGCAGACA